TCAAGGAAACCTCTGATCTATAAATTCAACTGCTGCATTTTTTTATAAATACATGTAAATGTCCTGTTGTAATATTTGATCTTGAAAATAAAAACAAAAGTTTTCGGTATTAATTTTTTGGGTCATTGTTTTTTGTGAGGTAAAACTCTGGTTATTGCCTTCATTCATGTAATTCAGATTCCCAAAGTTTGCCTTCCTGTTCTCATGTTTATGACAGTATTTGTTGACAGACTACTACAGAGTCCCATTGTCAAATGTAATGTTAACCTGAATGGTGAGCATTCCATAAATGTTGGTGGAACTGTTACGAAATATTGTGTTAGCTCCCTTTGAGAAAGTATGATTCTGTGTTTGATAAATTTGAGCAATTAAAGTGTCTGATCTTTTAGACCAGTATTAATAACAAAGACTCGGCTGGGCACCAGCTGCTCAAGCCTGTAAAACTGCCTACTTGGGAGACTGAGATTGGGAGGATCGAGGTTCAAGGCCAGCCCAGGCAAGTAGTTTGAGAGACCCCCCCCATCCCAAAATAACCAGAGCAACATGCACTGGAGGTGAGGCTCAAGCAGTTAAGTGCCTGCTTTGCAAGCATGAAGCCCTGACTTCAAACCCCAGTCCCACCAAAAAAGAAAAAGAAGTAAAAATAATTACTAGATCAATGGGGAAAAAAGTCAAAAGAACAAGTATATTGTGTACTGGGCAGAAACTGAGATTGCTGCCTAGCTCAGTGATCAGTTTTTGCCCCCCCCTCCTCCCCCAGGACTGCTCTCTGCTTCACTAAGTGCCAAATAATAGGAATGTGGAGGTGAGCAATCCAGGCCTCTGCCCCCAAAGGAATGAAAGTTCTAGGTAAGAATACAGACAACATGAGAAAATAACATTTGATCTAAATATTGTGGAAAGAAACTGGAAAAGGAACCTGTAGAGAATTCTCCTTAAAATAGGATGTTGGGGAGTTGATTTTCATGCCGAGACCTGAAGGATAAAAAGAAAGTGACCCACTCTTAAGAGTAGGAGGAAAACTTTCAAGCCAAATAAGGACAAAGGCCATGGAGCAGGAAAGTAACTGAAGTATTGGGAGAAGGCCAATTGTTGCATGTAGTGAGCAAAGATGGGGCTAGAAAGCAGTATGTATTTTAGAGACACATTTTGAAGGTAGAGATTGCAGTGTTTGTTGTTGGAAGTGGACATGGTGGAATTTGGAAAAACAATGAGTTTCTGGAAGATGGATAGATAGTGGCATCTTTACTGAGGTGAGGAAGGTTGGTGGGGGAGAAATCATTTTAGATGTGTTAATTGTGATACCTGAAGTATAGGAAGTTGGACCTGTGAGTCTGAAGCTTGGAGGGAAGGTGGGCTGGAGTTAGAGATTTGAGGAATGAGCAGTATAGATGGATTTAGGACTATGAGAATGAATGAGGTTACCTAGGGAGAAGGATAAAGACGAGGGCCCAGAGCTCAGCCCTGGGTATTATCCTCATAAAGAGACCCAGTCCTGGAGATGCAGCTAGTGAGAGGAGGAGAGACCCCAGAATGGGGTGTCAGAGCCAAGAGTGAGATTGTTCAAGAAGGATCAAGTAGCCAACATGTCTAGTTCTGCCCAGGGGTCAAGGAATAATAAGTGAAGTGTTCATAAATTACTAAAGTCACTGAAGACCAAGAACAATTTTAGTGCAGTGTTGGAAACGGAAGCCTAATTTGAGTGGGTTGAAGTGTGTGATATTTTTGAACCCGAAACTTCACTGTTACAAATAGTAGCTCTTTCAACATACCTTGTCTTCCTTTTTTTTCTGCCTCCAATTAAGGGAATGTACTCTTATTTTGTCAGCTGTCAGTTCAGTTGGAGTTTGCCCATAAGAAGAATTAGTCATTGTTATCTGGAGAAAATGAAAACAGCTAATTTGAAGATCTGCAATATCATCTTTTCCCTTTCCCTTCCACCAGGACTTCCATTTTCTCAGCTGCCTGCCTCTATTCCTTGCTCAAATCCTATCTCCAGACTCCACAAACCGCACAGCATCCCCAGAATGGAACAGCTGTCTTTCATGTTCTCCCAGGCCTTTCAGCCTGAGAAAACCTTTTATGGCATTACTTAGATTTCCCATGCAGGCCCTGTTCATAATTTGTATCTTCCAACTCCCATTTTCCCCTCTCCAGAAATATCACCAACAAAGTAATAATTAGTAGCCATGTTTCCAGTAGAGTCAAATTGATTAACACATCTGTGAAAAGGTAATGTGTTAGTTCTTTTGTGGCTGTAACCAGGCCTCTGCTATCTCAGAAAGCTTATCTCAGGGAAGTAAGAATGTTAGCCTAATGCTAGCCTGACTTAGTACACTTGTTTATTGCAACTATATAGTTTCTTAAAGAAATGCCTTGCTTTTAAAATAAATCATTGAATTATCACAAGTTGTCCCTAATGGAGCAATGGCCTTCAGTTACCATCACCAGTCCCTCCCACTAAGTTTGACTCTTAAAACTAAATTCCAGCACTTTGTTCCACAAGCACCACCTTAATAATTATCATGTAAGAGTGTCTGCCAGTGGATTGGGAACAAAGATACTGTCTAAAAGTCTGAGTGACACTAGCAATCAGCCATCGATTATCCTCATTGCTAAAACATGAGATGTTCTGGGAGACACTGTGAGATCCCTCTGCCAAGCTGATATCTGAGAACAGGAGAGAACTAACCTGCCCTAGGCATTTTGTATCTTTTTCTTAAGTTTGTGAAGGAGGCACTGAGGCTCTGTAAGCCCAAGTTCACAGAGCTAGTAGGTACTCATAGCAGGTATTAAGACTCAGTCTCAGGTGCCAAAGCACCACAGTACTGGCTCCAAAAAGAAATGCTTTAGGACAGAGAATCTGGGCTGAGGGTGGGGGGACCATCTCAAACATCAATATGTGGGGTTGTTTAGCATGTAGATTGGACATCGGATGATTCCTCCAACCCCGCTTTACTCACTGTTACTCCTAAGCAGGCAACATGCCTCTCTACCATAGTGAAGCTAATCTAAAATTTCTTTTACTTGCTTTAGGACTGTGGTAAGGCTCTGGTGAAAGCGTTTGTTTGTGTTTTATAAGGTGAATAAATGTTTCTTATAATGCTTTGTGAGTCCTTCGTCATGCTTGTTAGTCCTTTGTGTGTTGTATCTTCTGTTGAAATTCAGTTCTCTAGGAAGACAGAATTCATTAGAGCTGTAAATGATTGCCCTTTACAATGAAAATGAAGCCCAAGTCCTCCTTATTTAAAAATTGTTTTGAGATGGCATTTCACTGTGTTGCTCAGACTGGCCTCGAACTCCTGGTCTCAAGCAATCCTGCCTCATCTCCAGAGTAGCTGGGAATAAGAAGCCAGCTTGGATCTTACTTAAGGAACATTCAGAAGGTATATACTAACCTACATATGTAGAAAGTCCTACATAGAAAGCATCTCATATACAGTTTAAATGAATTAAATTATAATAGTTATAATGATTCCTTATGCATCAGAGTGTTTTCTCAGTGGTTTTTGTTGGTTTGTTTTCATCATTAGAAGTAAAATTTCTGGGTAGACTGTGTATGTTACTTTATCTTATACATGAATTAATTCATTAATCAAGTGATCCTTGAACTCCTACTATGTTCCAAGCTCTATGCTAGTTCAATGTACTCATAACAGGTAGATACATCCTCTGCCCTAAAAAACCTAGAGTTGTGAGTTAAAGAGACATATAAATAACACAGTTAAATAAAAACGCAGGGGGAGGGGTCAAAGATTTCTTAAATAGGATACAGAACCATTACCCATAAAAGATTTATAAGTGGAACTTAATTAAAATCAGTAACTTCTCTTCATCACAGGATTTCAAGAAGGGCGGAGGGTGTGTCTCAAGTGGCAGAGTGCCTGCCTTGCAAGCTGGAAGTCCTGAGTTCAAGCCTCAGCACCACAAAAACAACAACAAAAAAACTCTCAAAAGAGTCAAAACAGACTAAGAAAACATACATAACACATGTATCTGACAAATGTCATACCTGGAATTATAATGAACTATTACAAACCAATAAAAAAAGATAATCGATAAAAAAAATGAGCAAAAAAGAAAAAGAGCAAAAGACATGAACAGGAACTTCTCAAAAGAGAAGAACAAAAAAGATTTTAAACACAAAAAAAAGAGGCTCTCCAAATGGTCGATAAGTATACAAAAAGGAACTAACCCATTAAGAAAATGCAAATGAAAACTGCAAGGAGACACCATTAAACACCACCAGAGTGCCTAAAACTAAAAATGGTGTGAGCACGTGGAGAAAATGGAACACGCATGCACTGCTGGAGGGAGTTTAAGTTAGTAGGACCACCTTAGGAAACTGTTGGTAACCAGATCTGCCAAAATTAAACACTTGCCCTAAGACCCAGAACTGCCACTTCTATGTATAGTTCTCAGAGAAGTTAGCACCTAGTTCTCTCAAAATACATGGCTAAAAATAGTCATCATAGTATTATTTATCATAACAGCAACCTAAATATCCATCAAGAATAGAATTTAATATAGTCATATAATGAAGTAATACTCAGCAATAAAGAATGAATTACATGACCGAATCTCACAGAGTATTGAAGAAAGCCAGACACAAATGAAATTTAAGAATAAACACAACCTATTCAATCATGATAAAAGTCACAATGGAAGTTAGCTCTGGGGACAGGGTGCAATGAAAGGAGGGGACACCATGGAATTTTCTGGAGATTTGGTGATGTCCTATAGCTTCATCAATGTGGTGCTTCCTTTGGGTGTGCGTGTAAAGCTTCTTCAAACTTTTACAATAAAGATTTGTGCATTTTACTGTATGTACATACAGTATTTGTATATTTACATAATATGTAAATTTTTTTAATGCAATGGGAACAAAGAAAAAGAATCCCTGCCTAAATGAAGGAATCAGGAGAGGCATGGGGATGTTTGAACTGGCTCTTGAATAGGAGCTTGTCAAAGGCAGTGTCCCATGCAGACAGTAGCACAAAATGCTCAGCAGTTGGTGCGACTGTGCTAGAGAAGATGACGCCCTGGGGCTTGAACAAAAAAAAGCATTAGAAGGCTGGTTCCGGAGCCGAGCAGCACAGCCATCATCTGAGGGTGAAGTAAAGAGGGTGGGAAGGAAGAAATGGCGGCCCCAAGTCTGGAGGGTAAAACTGGAGGGCAGGAGCAGTTGGCATGGGGAAGAGTTCAGTTGGCGGAAGAGAAGAGGGTGAGGTGTTTCTCCTGGACGCAACCAGTGACTCATTAAGACAGCTGAGCTCCAGAGACCATGCTTCCTGTCTCCTTACTTGGAGTCACATGAAAATGAGCAGAGGGTTCTCCAGGAACAGGAAGTTCCTTCAGTGGAGGCCTGTGGGTAGTGCTGTGTGGGCACACACACACACACACACACACACACACACACACACATTCGGGTGACCTCTACATATATACAGACCCTCCCTGGCCCTCCTGGCAGAAGTCGAAAAAAGAGCCTGCAGGGTGTCCTAGCTGGGATTGCAGAAGCTAGGGTCCATTTTGAAGAAGACACCCTTTCTCCCTGTGTTTTCTCTACCATCCTTGTTCTTGTCAGCAGATGCAGGTAAGCAGAGATGAAAGGGTCCAATAAGGTGGTGGCCAGGGAACATGAGGGCCTAGCAGTTAGGCACAAACTTCCAATGCCAGTGTGTCCTGGTTCTGCCATTTAGCGGCTGTGTGGCTCTGGGCAACTCACTTGACTTCTTGCCTCAGTCTCTCTGTCATTGTCAGGTCTTTGCATATGCCTAGATCTCCTTCCCCATTCAATGCCTCACTGTCAGTCACGTTTTAGTAACAGCACTTCTAGGACACTTTGTCCTGAGGATTAGGATTAGGTGGTCCTCTTTGTCCTTCTACTAGCCTTATATAAGGTGACTTACATAAGTCACCTGTGCTTGGCTTTTATCACACTTCATTATTTTTGCTTGTGCCCTGTCAGTGTTCCCACTAGACTTTAAACTCCTCAAGGAAAGGCACTGTATAATTTTCACCATTGTCTCCCTATTCCCAGCATTCAATCTGACAGTGGCCACTTGATAACAATTAAGAAGGAATGACAGGAAAGGCTGGCTCAGAGGTGAGCCACACACACAGAGATCTTGCAGTCTCTTGCATCCTGTGATTGCACAATCACTCTTGTTGCCCAAATGTTGGCGGATGATTTGTTCACCCAGCCAAGTGACAAAGGCCTCCCCTACGGTCTGGTTTTAAGATTAGACCTTCTGGAACTGAGGACATGGCTCTAGTGGTAGAGCACTAGCAAGCTCAAGGGTCTTGAGTTCAATCTCCAGTACCATTAAAAAAGATTTAACCTTCTAATCTACTTGTCTTTACATATATCAACCTCTTTGCTAATCTCTGGGCTCACATTTTTGGAACGGTTTCTCAGAATGTTGTGATTTCTAAGAGAACAGTCAGAGAGAGAAAGTTACTTCACACAAAGTCATGGCCACTGTTGGCAGAGCAGTTTAGCAAGTGCTTTTAGGTCCGATGAGCAGGCCAGGCAGGGGTCTCTGAGTTCCACTCATCCAAAAGGCTACACTCAAGTCTTTAGTTTTTCCTGTGGATGGGGTATCCACCACTCTGTTTCCCTTCTGTGTCTTTCCTGATAGGAAATTTTGTCACAGGAGAGGTAGCCAGGGAGATTTGGAGCTGTGGGTCTAGACAAGCCTCACTAAGAGGTGGTATTGTTACCGGATTTGGGTCACCAGCTCCAGGAGCCAGAAAGTTCTTGGTCTTGTCAGAGAAAGAATTCAAGGATGGACACAGAGGAGACTTAAACAGGAGCAGGTTTCTTAATGCAAAGCAAAGTGAAAGCAAAGCAAAGGTGCATTTTCCTCAAGAAGGAACACTGCGCTGGATGTCCCAAGGCCTCAAGCTTTTATTGGGGTCTGCAGACATGGGGGTGGTCAGTCCTGGAAAACTGGATTATGTGTCATTAACTTCCAGAGACTGGGCTATGCATCATTGATTCCTCCCACATGTTGGGCGGAAAAGTCCATGGCCTTGGACGGTCAGACCAGGTCTGTCGTTTTCCAATGACTATGTGGGCTGTGGGCAAGCAAGACTTTGCTGTAGTGACTGACAAGCCATTCTCTTCAGCCATCAAGTTTCCTAGCTCCCTGCCTGCTCCTGTGTCTTTGTCTAGCCCAAGGTCCCAGTGTTCTTTTCCTGTGTTTTCTTCCAGAAATTTTGCCGAAGGGCCAAGGATGTAGCTCAGTGGTAAAGGTTTGGCTGCTATGCTGGGTTTGTGGAGCTGCTATCTCCAGCCCCACAAAAATACATTTTTAAGTAAATTTAGATCTATGGGCTATTTCAAGTTAATTTTTACATATGGTACGACATATTAGTCAAAGGAATTTTTAGCTTGTATATGTATTTTTTTTATTTAAAAATTATACAATGGGGTTTATTGTGATGTTTCCATACATATATATTTTTTGATCTTATTCACTCAGTTACTATTTCTATATCCCCTCACTCCCCATTTGTATATGTATTTTCCCACTGAATTATACTTTTTAAAAAATCCATTTATCAGATGTGCATAGGTCTGTTTCTAAACTCTCTAATCTGTTCTGATTGTCTAAACTTCACAGCTTTAACTATTTTAGCTTTATAGTAAGTCTTTAAGTCACATGTGCAAGTCCTTTAAATTTGTTCTTTTTAAACATTGTTGGCTAATTTAGATCCTTTGCTTTTCCATATAAATTTAGATTCGGCTTGTCAATTTTTTTTTTTTTTTTGGCTAAATTGGTGTTTGAACCCAGGGCTTCACACTTTCCAAGTAGGTATTCCATTGCTTGAGCCGGACCTCCAGTCCTCAGCTTGTCAATTTTTATAAGAAAAGTGCTGGATTTTTGACGAAGATTGTTTGAATCTATGCATCAATATAGGAAAAACTGGATGTTAATGACGTTGAGTTTCATGGGTCATGGATATGGTTTAACCCTCCATTCATTTAAGTCCTCCTTAATTTTTCTTTGCAATGCTTTGTAATTCTCAGTTTAAAGATCTTGTACACATTTTGTTAAATTTATTCACAAAATACTTATATTTTATGCTATTATAAAATAATCTTTTAAATTTCAGTTGTAAATTTGTCACTGCTTATGTGTAGGAATACAATAGAATATTAACCTTTTATTCTATGACTTTGCTAAACTCACCTATTCTAGTAACTTTTTGATGGATTGCTTAGGATTTTCTACATGTATGCTTATGTTATCTGTGAATAGTGGCAATGTTACTTCTTTCTTGTCTTTATGGCTTTTGCTTCTCCTCCTTTCCCCCTCCTCCTCATCCTCCTCCTCCTTCTCTTCCTCTTCTTTTCTGAGATAAGGTCTTACTGTGTAGCCAGGCTGGCCTTGAACTCAGAATCTTTCTGCCTCAGCCTCCAGAATAGCTGGAATTACAGGCATGAACTACTGAACCCAGCCCTTTTGCTTCTTTTAACTTTCTGATTGTGCTGAACATGCATTAAGAACGTCTGTTGAATAGAAGTGCTGAGATGGACATCATCATGACAGCTTCAAAAACTTTTGTTTTGCCAAATAGAAATGATCAGTGGATGTAATAGAGGCACAAGCAAAGTAGGATGGAATATGGAATGTGTGTGTGTGTATGAGTGGGAGTTGGCAGAAAGTGGAGTAATTAAATTATCTGCATTGGGGAAGATTTATAAAGGGCAGAGTGCTTAAGAGGTTTCTTAGCTCTTCCTGATCTGACCCTGGGAAGAGGCAGTTTCTGTAGTCTGTTTTCCCCACCTCATGATACTACTGGCTGCCTCTACTCCATGCTCCATCATGACCCTTTCCTCGGTTCCAGGTTGTTGTCCTCTCCCTGTGTGATGGCATGCTGGTGGACCTGCTCCCGCATTCTGGGCCTGAGCCTCGGAACTGCAGCCCTGTTTGCTGCTGGGGCCAATGTGGCCCTCCTGTTTCCTAACTGGGATATGTCCTACTTGTTGAGAGGCCTCATTGGCAGGCATGCCATGCTGGGCTCTGGGCTCTGGGGAGGAGGCCTCATGGTAAGTGTCTGGGGTTTCCTGAGTGTGAATTCTCAAAGCATCACCCAGGGGTGGAACTGGGAGTGTCCGAGGAATGTTTTGATTCCTTGCAGAAAAACAAAAACCAATTGGGCACCAATGGCTCATGCCTATAATCCTAGCTACTCAGGAGGGAGAGATGAGGAGGTTTGGAGCCAGTCTGGGCAAATTAGTTCATGAGACCCTATCTCAAAACAAAAAAAATCACAAAATAGGGCTGGTGGAATGGTTCAAGGTATAAGTCCTGAGTTCAAATCCCAGTATTGAAGAAAAAAAACCAAAACCTTGTTCCAGCTTGTTCCAACATGCTGGCCTTGGCTCCATAGACACTCTAAGGGACAGAAAGACTTGTCAAGGGTTGCTGGATTTTAGCTTGGAACCATGCTAGCTTGATGAACATTAGCATCCACAGAGTGGAATCAAGCTAGTCATCCAAAACAGGGTCCTGAATGTCAAAGCCAATAATAGTACAATTGAGTTCTTGTGAGGTGACCAACCACTCTATTTCAACAGCCATGGGAAGCAACTAGAAACAGCTAGCCATGTAAGTTACCAGTCTCTTCACAGCATCCTTTCTTCTTCAGGTATTTACTGCTGCTACCCTGGTCTCCATGATGGGCTGGAGATCCCGCTGCTTCAGTAAGAGTGCACCCTGTCGAAGTGTAAGAACCAGAGCCCATTCTTTTGACACCTGGAATGCCCATGTTCTCTTACTCTAGAGGCAGAGTGGCCAAGGGGCAACTTCAGTCTTGAGGCTTGAAGTCAGGTCGTGACTTGTGCACTCAATAGCTCCAAACTCTTGGCAAGTTGTTTAACCTTTCCAGACTCATCTGTAAAATGGAAGTTGGCCAAGGCAAGGGAGAAAGTGTTTAATGGACCATAGAAACTATTATTTTCTTTATTGTATTGAACAATACGAGCATGAGTTATGTATAGTGTGATTATGTGTCATTGGTAGAACGTCTCCTGGCTGTTCTAATTTATATTTTCTCAGAAGGCTAGTGATGTAGTTCATGGCAGAGCACTTGTCTAGCATGCATGAGGCCCTGGAAGACAAAACACACACACTCACACACACACACATCTATCTATGCATTTTTTTTTTCTTAGAACTGGAAAATTGTCCAGAGATCTCTAGTTACTAGATTCTAATCTAACCCCACCTTACAGATAATGAAACTGAGGCAACATCTGTATAAATTTAAAAATCTTAGCGTGTGTATATGTCTATGTACATATGGTAAATTGTGTATTCAGTTTGAAACATGAATTTGTAGCTTCTCGCTGGAACTCTACAGCTTGCTCTGACACCTGCAGCCCATATACTGGGAACCCCACTGATTCAGAATTACATGTTAAAGAACTAAATATAAACACGTGGACACTTCCTGCACTGCTAGCTCTCAGTCACATCTAGCTTTCCCCTAGGTGGCTGGTTCTTAGTCTTCAGTGTGCACCAGAATTCTCTGCCAGGTTTGCTAAAACACAGTTTCCTGAGCTCTATCCCCAGAGTTTCTGATTCAGGAGGTCTGAAGTGGATCAGGAAAATTTGCAATTCAAACAAGTTCCTGAGTGATGTGAACCATGCTGCTAAGCCAGGGCCCCACTTTGAGGTCACAGCTCCTGTCAGACTAACTCTTCTTGAACCTCTTAACTTCATGTCAAACTTACCACACACTTTCTGCTGACCTCTCCCAAGCTATATGCCAGCTTGACACCAGTGGGAAAATAAAAAAACTCTTTTGTAGGTTTTATTCAAATTTTAAAAATATATATTCTTTGGGAGGGAGAAAAAAAAATCTACTAAGAAAGAAGCATTTTGGAAGCAGACTAGAAACCTGCCAAGGAAAGAGACCCAAAGTTATCTTTTGGGAGGAAAGAGAGCAGAGAGAGCGTGGGTGGCAACTAAAGGAGTGATGATAGAGGACAGGATGGGGTCATTTTACAAGTTCTTTCTCCTCTCCTCTTCTCTTTTCCTTTCTCTCCTGTTCTCCTTGCTATTTCCTTCCCTCCTCCTCCTCCTCCTCCTCCTCCTTCTCTTCTCCTCCTCCTCCTCCTCTCCTCCTCCTCCTCCTCCTCCTCCTCCTCCTCCTCCTCCTCCTCCTCCTCCTTCTTCTTCTTCTTCTTCTTCTTCTTCTTCTTCTTCTTCTTCTTCTTCTTCTTCTCTCTCTCTCTCTCTCTCTCTCTCTCTCTCTCTCTCTCTCTCTCTCTTTCTCTCATGTGTATGTGTTTGAGACAGGATCTCAGTATATTCCCCACGCTAGCCTGGAATTCCCTGTGTAGCTTAGGCTGGCCTTGAACTTGTGAACCTCCTGCCTCAGACTCCTGAGTGCTGAGATTACAAGTGTGCACCACCATGACCCATCTCCTTCTTACCTTCCTTATTCTTGATTTGAGAGAGAGCAAGGATGGAAAATTTGGAATTTTAAAAACTATAGCTTGTCCTTAAAAGTGACAGTGAGAATGATAATCTGTCCCTTTAGCCCAGTGCTGAGTGACCACAATCTATGTGCAAAGATTTCTGGTACCAGCCTCCTGGGAAATCTGAAGAGCCTGTAGGTTCTCCTGTAGGCTTCTCTTCAGGAAGATCCAGGTCCAAATGCCCCTGTTTCTTTCTCAGGTCATTCTCAACCCTTTCTTGGCTGTACCCAGAGACCCCTCACTAGCCACCCTACCTTGGTCATGTGCTATAGAAGTTGTCATTGATAGAATCTCTCCCCTGGGATAGGATGGGAAAGTGCATGCCTACCAGAGAAGTTAGATTTATTGAGATTACCCCCACAAGCACCTGACTACAAGCCAGTGTCAGCCCCCTGTGTCCTCCCTCCCTCTGCAGATGCTCACTGCTCTGTTGTCAAGTGGCCTGGCTTTGCTTGGAGCCTTGATTTGCTTTGTCACTTCTGGAGTAGCCTTGAAAGATGGTCCTTTTTGCATGTTTGATGTTTCGCCCTACAATCAGACACAAGCCTGGAAATACGGCTACCCATTCAAAGACCTGCATAACAGGTAAGTGTGGAGACTTGGATTTGTGGAGTCTTTTCAGAGAGACAGAATGACACACAGATGGACAACAAACTCCTTTGGGTCACACATTTTAGCATCTAGCTCCTCTGATGATCAGAAAATTGCATACTCAGGGGTGCCAGTCACTCTTTCGAGCCCAGGCCTATGACCTGAGCCAGGGTGGCCCCCATTTTTCACTGGGGCTGATTGTCTGGCTTTTCTTACTTATTCTCCCACCCCTGACTTCCTTATTTTTGGAACAGGAATTATTTGTATGACCATTCACTCTGGAACTCTGTCTGCCTGGAGCCCTCAAAAGCTGTTGTTTGGCATGTGTCCTTCTTCTCCGCCCTCCTGTGCATCAGCCTCCTTGAGCTCATCCTAGTAGTTGTTCATCTCATCAACAGCTTCCTCAGCCTGTTCTGCAGCCTCTGTGAGAAGTGATAGTGACACCCTGGTGTTTTCATCATAGGCTGCCTTGAACCCTTTCTGCAAGTAGCAGGTATGAATTACAAACAACCTTCCCTTTCAGGAATCCCTGTAGTTACAATAACAACAATAATTCCTTGCGTGCAGGGTGGAATGACATAGTGCATTTAAAATCACATCACCTACAGTAATGGAATGAATCACTAAGTCACTAATGTTGTTCAGGAACTTACAGCCCATAAAATTATAACAGATGCTTAGAAACTGCTTTTGCCGAAAAGCACTGCCTTGGGCTCACAAATTAACTAAAAGCAGGAGAAAAGCGTGGCATCGCAGCCTCCATTTTGTATCTGTCTTCTTTGCTTTGAGTCTCTTTCTCCTGAAGTCACCTTGTATTCCAGGAAGAACAGAACTGATGGAAAACATCATTAGGACAAAAGGCTGAAGCTGCTCCCAAGGAGCAGTCGAACCTCACAGGACAGACACTCCCAAAGAAGACAATTGCCTAGGATGAGGCAATTGAGTCCTCTGGAGCAGGGGTACTCATCTCATGGGAACCAGGTTGCTCCCCTCAAGTGAAGACAGAGATAACAGCTTCTTTGAAACCCCTTGCAGAACCAGAACTGAGATGACGAGCGACCAGGCCACACTTTGCTCTGGACTGCTTAATTATGCATACCTCTCCCCCGTTGCAGTTCTTCCTCCATTTAAACCTAAGGCTCATGCCTGTACTCAGACAGACATGGCTGAAGTGCTTCCTCTGCCTTTTCCTATGATGTGCCTGAGCCCCATAATAAATCTCCCTTCTCTGCCCTTTACCGCTACTTGTCTCTTTATTTGGTGTATTGGGGTGAGTAGCAGGACCTGACATGTTGGAAACCTCCAAATTGGGCGTCTGGGCCTAGAACTCCAGTTACAAAGTGTCCTCCAGTCATGATCTCATTTCGGTCTTTCAACACCCATAAAAATTGGCCATGTTATAGACAGAGAGGGTGAGACTCCCAGAAGATAATGGCCTTGCTTCCCAAAATCAAGGTTAATATATAGTTGCACCTGATTCTCTTCTTCTTCTTTTTTTTTTTTGGTGGTATTGCGGCTTAACTCAGGGCCTCACATTTGCTAAATATGCACTCTACCTCTTGAGCCACTCTGCAAGCTCTTTTTTGTGTTGGGCATTTTTGAGATAGGGTCTCATGAACTATTATTTTTCAGACTGGCCTCAAACCTCAATCTTCCTGATCTCTGCTTCCCGAGTAGCTAGCATTACAGGCGTGAGCCACCGTTGCCTGACATGACCCTCTATCTTTAAATTCAAGTTCACCAGTTGTTTTGGATGGAATTGTGTTTCCCAAAATTCATAGGCTGAAGCCCTAACCCTTAATAGGGACCATACTGAAGACTGAGCTTTGTGCTCTATCACTCGAGCCCTGTAGATAGGCCTGTAATGGGGTAATTAAGGTTAAATTTGGTCATAAGGGTAGGATTCTAATACAATAAGACTCATATCCTTACAAGAAGAGAGACACCAGATCTTTCTTTTTGCATGACCACAAAGAAAAAGACCACATGGGAATACAGCAAGAAGGCAACCATCTGTAAGCCAAGGGAAAAGGTTATCTGTAGAAATCAAATCTGTTATTACTTGGTCTTCAACTTCTAGTCTCCATAATTGGGAGAAAATGTTTGTAATCTGGGTGTGTTGGTTCACCCCAGCTCCTCAGGAGGTGGAGATAGGAGGATCAAGGTTTGAGGCCAGCCAGGGAAAATGTTAGTGAAACCCTATTTCAAAAACAAGCTGAGCATGGTGACAAGATCCTATCTGAAAAAACAAATTGGAAAAAAAAAAAAAAAGGAAGGACTGGGGGTATGGCACAAATGGTAGAGTGAGACCCTGAGTTCAATGCCCAATACTGCAAAAAAAAAAAAAAAATGAAAGGAAGGATAGAAGGAGGGAGGGAGGGAGGGAATGAATGTGTTCTGTTGTTTAATCCACTCAGTCTGTAGTATTCTGTTATGGCAGCCCTAGAAAACTACTACATCAGGGTTCTTTTCAGCAGTGTTCAGTAGAGTTCAAGAAGTAGTATACATTGGGCATCAACTATGTGCCTCGCACTGCCACACATGCTACAGATCTAACCCAAAGGTGCCCAAGACGTGGTCCTTGCCTTGGACCCTGCCCTTGTTGAGGGATACTCAAGAACAGGGAAATAGGACACCTAGGCTTTTCAGGAAGCTGTGTTTATTAGCGTGCTGGCAGTGACTTGGCGGTTTCACATCCACAGGCTGAGCCCTGAGAACAACAGGGCCTTGCCTTATATACTATTCTAAGCAGGATACAGAAGCAAGAAAAAAAGTTTAATCCATATGGTTATGTACAATTCTACTAGCTACTTTACCCTCAGGGCTATGTGACCCTTTTTACATTCAGCTTCTTTAAGTTTCCTGCCATGCCAACACCTCCTCTCTATTACATCATTTCCCCCCCTTTGATGCTCGGACCCACCTAGGGTCAAAGAGCATCATCTGGATTTAGGAGTTTGTATTTCCATAGCATCATTACGTGGATGGCTGTTTTTCTCTTGACAGTGGCCTTTATAATTATTGGACCACAATACCAAGGGAAGCAGGCAGGATAACATCAAGCATGCTCCTGAGACAAGACCCATCGCCCCATCAGGGTTTTGAATCTGCCTAAGGCAGAGAACCACCTGCCAACAGACTGTTTGGGTCCCATCCTTTCCACACCTGTACTGGTACATGTGCCATCTTTCTAATATTAGTGGCAATTTCTGTTACTGCTTGACCATTGTCATCTATGTGGAGGCAGCAGTCTGATCGGTTAAGCTTGCCACCTACTCCTCCTTCTTCAGCTAAAAGATAATCCGAGGCCAGGTGATTTTGATATGTAGCAGTTCACATTTGGGTCTGTTGCCTGACCAGTAGGTCTAGGGCAGAGGCAGTCTGGTTGGTAAGTTCTACAACTAATGATTCTGTTGAGTATATAGATGGGAGCTCCCCTCCTGTGCCCAGGTAGCTGGTCCATAGGTCTCAATGATCCTCTGGGGGAGGCCAATTGTCTTCTCCCCATCTCTGTTGACCCCCCCACCTCAAGGTCTCTATTCTAGGCCCCAGAGTTTCAAAAAGGGGAACCCCCAGCTGTTCCCCTGGGTGGTTGGGCAAGAGGAAAAACCCAGGCTGGAAAATTCTATAGTTCAGCTTCCCTTCCAAGTCCTAGGGAGTTTGGTAGAAACTTACTTAACCACATATCCAGAATAACCCATCCAGTGCTCTCCACTACCCTGGGACAGTATTGGTGAGGTTATTCCAGTATTTGCCAACTGCAGGGATCCCTTGGAATGGGTTCGCCTCGCCTGTAGAAGAACAAGTTAAGGGGCTGTCATTGGCTGAAGAATCATGTCACTGGGGACTGTTTTCCTATGGGGGCAATGCCCAATACCATTCAGGCTCATCAGGCCTGCCAGGTGATATTAATCCATTCTAAGACAGTACCCTTTTACAAGGGGTCTCCCCTACCCACTTTTTATATTTTGGCCTTATTCTTTTGATACATTCTTCCCCAATTACCTCTGAGGTGAGAGTCCAGATCTGAGGTTGGTTACTTTTTTGTCTAGTTATAGATTGATTCCACAATAAAAGTTGGTAAGCATTTAAATTGATCCCTTTTCAAGGCCATTTCTCACTCATGAGGGTGCCTCTGCTTACCCAGCAGTTTGAGACATTTAGTTTTGGCAATCCTTTCTGCCAGGTCTACAAAAAGACTTTTTTCTACTGTTGGGAGGTCTAATCCGCTGTCTAATTTGCTTTTGATTTTATTATACAGTGGCCCAGTGCCTTGTTTGGCATCTGGCCCTGGTCTGGGTGAGAGTACCTCTGACACAGTGTGCTGTTTCTCTTACAAGTTGTTCCTGAGCTAGGTCCTGGACTCCCCCACCATCAGAACTTCCCCAATTCCTAAATAAGTCCAGCAGATCCCCTCCCCACTTTCCATTACAAATGTAGCCTGCATTGCTCCCCTTACTCTGGGGCTTTCACTATTGCTTACCAGCAACCTCACAAACCTGGGGAGTATACGAGCCAATGTAACACCCAACCTGTTGGTGGGTGTATGATACAAAGTATGACCGTGTGGAGGTCCCAACAATGGCTCTCTTATAACATTCAGTACATGGGGGAAACAGCAAGGGTGCATTCTACACTTGAGTTTCCACTGTGTGTAGACTAGTCAGCTTCTGGAGTGGCTAGGGCAGGGCTGTCGTCCAGTTGTTCATGGTCTCCTGTTGTTTCCTAGGAAGTGGGGTCCTGCCGAGGAAGGGCGCAGGCCTTCCGGAGGGTGATCTTGCATGGTGAGGGTGGGTCAGGGACGCACTCTCACTTGGGAGATGCTGGCTTTACTTGGTTGTGTTGGATCCAGGGAGTAATCTCTGCTACTTTAACTGCAGTGGGAATAGACAAAATAACAACAAATGGGCCCCTCCAATGGGGTTTTAATGGTTGGACATTTCATTCTTTTACCCAGACATTTTCCGGTTTTGTTTTTTTTTTTTACTGAGTAGAATTACCATGGCAACAAAAAGTTAAAAACACCATCTTTAAGTATCAAAGGACATGACTAGAGCCAGTAAAAATAGTCATTTTGTCTCTATTTAAAAGACCCTGTCTAAAAACTGTGAGTTTGTGCCTGGAGGGCTTTAAGGTCAGATAGCCACTCATGCAAAAGAACCATTTCCTCAATCCTCTCGGTCTTGGTTATTTTTGAGAGGTCTGGCACAAGTGACTCTATTTGAACTTTGACAGCATTCTCCCTGTGTCTCCAAACTGTCTCTGAGCAGTCTGCTCTGAAGATCTTTCTGCCATCCAAGTCCTAACCAGACCCAACCCTGCTTGCTTTCAAGACCAGACAAGATTGGGCACATTCCTCCTCATCATGAGGATTTGTTCTTTCCTGGATTTTTGTTTGTTTGGTTGGTTTTGGTCCCACATCAGGGGTAGGGGGG